GTAGTACATTAGCAAAGTGTCCTTTGATTTTTATGTAGTGAATGTTTACATGCTGATTCAGAGAGGCCTGGCCATTCTTGCCCCCTAATTCTTAAGGTTAGGGTATTGGGGTCAAAAAGCTGCCAGTATGAGATGGGTAGATTTCTGGGTTACACACAGGTGCCAGTAAATTGGAGATTCAATGCATGGTCAGCCGTGTGGGGACCCTGTGTCTGAGCTGCTCTGCAGCAGCAAGGTGGAGGCTGTCCCCAAGCTGCTGGTGCAGGGGCCAGATCCTGCACACACCCATGGTGTAAGGAGTTTTATAGGTTGCCAGCACCCTTTTATTCCACCTTCTCTGGAAGAAACCGGGCAGCAGCAGTGAAGTGAAGCAGAAAGCCTGTCGGCGGGATGAAGACATCTTCTGTCCATCTCTGTCCATGAAGCTGAACCGAAGCCTTCCTTCACTGCTTAAAATTGTGATTTTGGATAAAAGGCTGTGTAATAACCTGAGAAGTGTGTGAGAAGATCTGCTGTTAATACTGTATAAACCTTCTTTAACTTCAGGAAGCTTAAAATCAAATTTGGCAGAGCTTACAAGGGCAGTGAGTGTGGAGCCACTTGACTAGTAACTGAGAGAATCCGCTGACAAACCTGCAGTATTTTGATCTTCTTACAGTGCTGTCTGAATTCCTGGAAGTATTTACTTTGTTGTGAACGTGTGTAAATATATATATTTGTCTTTACCTGTGTGTTAAAAATTTCAATCTCATGTTTGGTGCAAAGAAATTTCCCATCTCTTTGGGGAAACCGAACGAGGAGAGTGTGACAGCGCAATTTAGGTTCTCACGGGTTTAGGCTTTTTAAAAGAAGAGGCAATAAGGTAGGTTAATTGTGGAACTAGGAGGCTCCACTGACTCATCTGCTGAATAAAGAAATTCAGATTTGTTGTGACCTCAAGAAAGGGAATTTTTAGAGCAGTTGAAGTTAGAAATCTGGGGTAAATTCGGGTATTTGAAAGTCATGGTAACAACCATTTGTAAGTGTATCATGCTCTATAGTAAGATTGCATAAGGGCAGAGGCTGAAGCATCTGATTTTTTTAGTTTTTTTTTTCCCTTTTGGCATTCTGTTTGTGACAATTACATGACTCTCTATTAACAGTGTGTGGAAGAAAGCAGTGTTACGAAATGAGGAGAGATTTCCTTCATCTGTTACTCTGTAGGTAATTTTTGTGCTTTTTCCAATATTCAAGTACCTCTTAACTGCTTGCTGTCCATCTGTATACCATTCATAGTACTGTAAACTAGTATATGTAGCATGACCTTGTAACTTGCTTTGTTTGTGCATCTGCCAGTACAATATGTTGTCTTTCCTTAAAATGCAAATATGTTCCATGCAGTACAGAGCTCCTTAGTCAATAAATAAATGGAGGTAAAAAACTGTACCTAATACCCATTTAATTTAAATTCATTTTATAAACATAAAGACGCCTTTTAAGAGAAGCTTTAATTCAGACTAGCACCTTGATTTGTGGTTGCCATGGAGAATCAAATCTGTCATTTGACAAGAAAAGTCACCCATTTATGACAGCACTTTATCTTGTCTCTCCAGGGGAAGAAAATGTCAAAAGTGAGAGCAGAAAAAAATAAAGCCTTGAAACACCAGAATTTCTTGATTTCATTTTTATTATTCAGCTATCATATCCTTTCCGATAATAGCAAGTTGGTGAAAATAAATAATGTTCCTACAGTAAAATCAAATATTTCCTATTGGAATGGACAGGGCTCTTTGTGATTGTCAGTGCTGTGAAGTCTGGCAAGAAATAGTGTTATTAGATAAACCCACAGTGCCCAAATCCCATTTTCTTTTCATTACAGTGTCAAAATAATTATACCTGTGTAATTTGGGTAAGAAATTGTAGCATAAGTAAAATGGTCCATTGGAAGAGATTGCTTTAAGCTTGTGTTCGTTATAGGGTGGGGTTTTTACATGCTGAAGAAAAAGAGGAAGATAAAAAAATTAGTATAATTTCATTTGAATAAAAACGTCTGGTTACCCTTTCATGTTCTTTACAACCAGAGGAGATGGCAAGTGCTGTGTTCTGTTGGGCTTTTTACATCCGTGCGTCTCTTGTAAAAAAGAGTTGAAAGAGGCAGGAGTTTTTAACACTTTTTGATTCTCAGGTATTCAAAGACATGATATGAAATTGATCATTATCTGGAAATCTGTTTTTGAAGTGTTTTTATTTTGGAGGATTAAGAAATGGTAGGAATCGGGTGTTTTCAGAAATATAATCAGCTATCACAAGTGTTTACGTGTGTACGTTTAATCCATATAGACACTAAGGTGCCCCCAGGGGAGAAACACTTACTGTAGCATTGCATTACTTTTTACATAAATCTCAAAAGTGCCGTTGAAATAACGAGACTGAAATAATCCACTCTTTGCCTCTTTCTTGAGACGGCGTTTGTGCCTTTCACAGTATTGCGGGGTTTGATGTGGTTCAGGAGTAATCTTGTATCAATGAGATAGCATTATAATAGAAAGTCCTTTAGTGGTTTAGTGTAAATATTGGGCTGGTAGGGGAGCTGCTTGCTGGAGCGGTTGTGCCTGCAAGAGATTACAAAAAGGGAGAGAAAGGAAAGGGTCGGAGGCTCTTTCTTTTTTCTCTTGAAATTGGCTGGCGGTGCCGAATCCATAGCCAAAGCTAGTTGAGATCTGCTGTGAGAAAAAAGGCAGCACAATAGTTCCCTGTTCCTGCCTTCATGCAGAGTCTGAAGCCAAATCCTAAATACTTATGTGTAATTCTGCTTGCCTTCACCAGGCACTACCTGTCCAGTGGAAGTAAGTGATATGTTGTATCCTAGGATTCTTTAAAAATGTATGTGGTGCAACTATTACCTTAGTGGGGCAAGAGTTGCAATTTGGATATATATATATATATATATATATATTAATTATTTTGGTTTTTAACACATATCAACATCATGTCATAGGAAATGTGTTAGCATGGGCCACGAAAATGTGATAACGTAGGGGTTTTATTGTGAGACCATCTGGAATAAAAGAGGGTGAATTATAGATGGTCTCTGGGGTTATGGAAACTTAAAGATGTTAAAGGGTCTGATTTCCATAATGTCTGCCTCTCCTTTTGCCCAACTGTTGATATAATCTGCTTTAAAATCGATTTGCTGTCATCATGTAATCAAAGCCTTAATTGCACCATCATGGACTTCAGCATTTTTTGCTGATAAATTTGTGCAACTGATGGTAAAAAGGTTGTTAAAAAATAAACAAGTGTTTGCAATAATTTTGCTGGATGTGCTGTCTCTTGCATAGTGACAAAAAGTGTCCCAGGTAATCCAGGGGTCCCTGAATTTCAGTGAGAGATTTGAAAATGTTTTCCTGTCTTCAAAACCTTGAGGCATGATACCACAAACTGTTTAGCTTGCTGTAGTCAAGAATATTCAAAGGAGTAATAGAAGACTCATATTTAGCATGGCCTTGTCAAAACTGTGCTTTGAAGTATTTAGTCCACTTCAGATTGTAAGTTAGTACAAGTTGTTCTTAAATAGTAAAATAAGGGATGGTGGGATAAAGCTGCATGTTGGCTGTGAGGTTGTTCCCCCAAAGCCCCTAAGCTCTGTCTGAGGGAGGACCAAATAGAGTTTAAATGTTTTTATAAACCAAATAATTGTAACTTGCCTCTCTAGTTTCCAACGGATGCTGTCTGAAATGGCTGATATCCTGTCCTGAAAATCACAGATGGAAACTTCATCTCAGCACAGTGCTGCGGCAGTAATGAAATGAAAGTAGCAGAGTCTCATTTACATTTCAGAAATAGTTCTCTGTAGTTTCCTGTTCAACCTACCAGATTTTCTTGTGTACCTGATGTTGGTTGTTACCCACATTTAAAGGGCAGTGCTTTAGGTTTGACCCTTGGAGAATTACGAGTATGTAGGTGATGCTCTTCTGTTACCGGGGGATGCTCTTTGCTGCAGCAAGTCCCGGTATAGCAATAGCTGAAGCAGCAGCGACTGTTTGATGCTGTTTCAACAAAGGTTAACTCCTTCCTCTTGGCTTTCACCATTCTCTTCAGTCACAGCAACAGCAGTGCAAGCTTTTCTCAACTGATTTTTTTGCTGATTTATTTAAATTGCATTTTTGTTTTAATAACCTGTTACAGAAATGTACCGGGCTGTAGAAGTCTGTGATATAAAATGGCAACACTCATGTACTGTTTCTGTAAGAGGGAAGTCAAAGTAAATGCATGCTTTGGAAAAGCGAATCACATGCTTTTAAAAAAAGAATATATACCAGGTGCTAATAAGACTGTGTATTGACTGTAAATGCTTTTCATGGGAGTGTTTGAAAGAGAAGAAAGTGCAGATTTCTCGGGAGGATGAAGAACACCATAGAGGGTAAAAATGGGATACTTGACAGTCTCTGTGTATTAGTGCAGCCCCTTCTCCAGCACAAGAAATACCCTTAGCAGAACTGAGATACACCACTTTTTTGAACAACACCCGTGACCTTCTCCAGTATTTAGAGGGGTCAGAAATGGAGCTGCTGCGAGTATGGTGAGTCTTCTGAGAGCACCCGTTGATCTCACCAAGTGTCTTCAGCAACTTGGGCAGGCACATAATGGCCAGGAATGACAGCACAGCTTGTTACCACATAAAGAATACCTCTTTTTTTTAACGTATGGATGTGTGTGTGTGTAAGTATTTTTAACAGAGCTGTAGTGTCTCCGTGCAGGCGGTGTGTGCAGGAGTTGTCACTAGCGAGGGGAAGCCAGGGCAGCCGTATGGCACTGTGCCGAGCATGAAGGGTCCTGCTGAGCTGCAGTGGGGGAGGATGAGTCCCACAGTGCCTCAGCGTCCTCCTCATGGGGTGCCATGTGGGGTGCTGTGGTCTCAGCAGCACCCTGTGTGAGCCCCTGCAGTGTAAAGGGAAAGGTCTTGCTGTCAGGAAGATTTCTGGCAGATATCAAGACTTCTGCAGTGGAGTTGCACCTACCTTAGCAGCAGGTATTTGAAGGTGGTAGCAGGTACCCCAAGGAGCAGTGGAAGTTCCTGGTGTCTCACTGAGCCCCAGTTTTGTTTTGGAGTCCCTGGAGTCATCAAAGCATTTCAGCTTGTTTGAGGATACTGGAGTACTCCTTATGGTCCCACCACAGGGGAGCCTCAGACTTACAGCTGTTGGAGTGATTTATCTTCAGAATGTGGGGTTGATGCCTGCACCCTGCTGTGCCACCAGAGCTGCCTGAACCACCCAGCAGCATGGTGCAGTGGGTGGTTATGGTGGTAGCTCTGGTGCTCGTGACTTGTGACCAAAAGCTGCGTCGTGTTGTCTCCTTACTACACCCTTTGGCTATAGCTGTTTCTTGTTGCTGTTTCAATTCTCTATTCTTAGAGTAAAAAAATGCTCAAGAAATTATGTATATTAAAAACAGGTGTATGTGAAAACAACCTTCGGGATGGTCCAGTCTGGCACATGGTTTGGGAAATGACAGAGCTAAGGTGGCATGGGCTGCACCAGCTGAGCCTCTGGGCTGTTACACATTGTGAAACTCTCTTGACATGATCATGTAGTTTTGGTGGGTTGTTTATCTTTTTGTTCCCAAAGAGCCTTGTTTGGACTTTGGTGTGTCATCCAAACCCAAGTGCTCCAAGCTTGCCACATGCTTCACTGTTCCTCATTTCTTTGTGCTCACTGAGAGCCACCTGAGGCCAGTTTTGTAAAGTGAGCTGGGGTTTGCAGCCACAGCTGAGGCCAGTTGGGGCTGTTTGTAGTAGCACAGGGGTTGTTAGTATCCATAAAGACTGTGAGCACTGGTGGGCTCAGATTGGTGTCTTAAGTTATTGGGTAACTCAAACCAGCAGTTGTCAGTAGCCTCTATTTCACTTTGTCTCAGTTTCATGCCCGTGGGATGGTTGTGATGCCACCAAGCTTCTTTGTAAGCAGAGGTGAGGAGACTTTCATTAATATCATTTGTGATATTGTAATGAGGGAACTGGGGATATGGTCAAGAGGAGCTTGTAATGCTGCATTCAGCTTTGGGTTTGGATAGTGTGTGCTAAGTAAGTAGTGTGTGATACTGGGAGTAAAGATTTTAGAGGAGTGAAAAGAAATGCTTAATAACTGCATGTAAATGGAAGTCCCAGAGAAAAATACAATTGTGTAAGCTAAGGCTTGATCGTAATACTCATCCAAAGGTGTAAATCAAGACTGCATGTTGATGTTGCCAACTTTGTTGTCTAGTTTTTGCAACCTTAACGTTATTTTAATATAGCCTTGGATGCAGTTCTGTGAGGGATGTACAGCAATATGTTAGCATGCTGTGCCATCCTACATTTAGGGCTTGTAATAAGGGTTTTTTTTTCCTGTATTGTCTTTGCCAAAAAAAAAAAATAGTGACTTTTGAGCACTGAAGCATGTGTTCATATTGCTGCATTTCTGTTTGATTCTGGGTCCTGTATGCTCTGTTGTATCACAGGATCTCAAGGCTGTTACTCTGTTCTGTTTGTATCTGGGAGGAGCAGTTGGGGTAATCCATGCATTTCACTGAGAACCCTACTCAGGGCAGTGTATGTAGTGGTGGTGGGAAAGGCTAGAGGCAGCAAAGCAAGCACACAAGAGGTTATAACCACTTCAGTCACACTCTTGCAGCAAAAATAGCTAAAATATAAATATTTGCTGGGAGTAGGGGAAGACATACCAGGGTTAGTTAGTTTTGCCAGATATTGTAGGTCTGTTTTTTTGAGGGGGAGCGTTGTGAAGCTTTATTTTTTATTGGCTAAGAGAAACAGCAGTTCTCGTGCAATGTGGAAAAATTCTGATGATGGGGATTTTTCAGTAATTTGGATGATTAAATGCATGAAATAGATTTGTTTTGTTTTTTCCTGTTGTCCTTTCTCCTGTTGATGGGCACAGTCTCTTCCAAACTGAAATGCAGATGGAAAGAAGTGTACAACTCATTTCTCCTATTTCAGTGTCCCAATATACTGGTTCAAGTGGACCCACCGATGACAAAATTGATCCTATTAGCAGTTTGTGTGCTTGGCTTTCAGGGTGATGGGAGATTGGTGTTCTTATTACTGACATTTTCACCGGTGCTCTGCACATCTTGGAACAACGTGTTTCAACTCTCTCTGCCTAAATTTCCCCATATATAAAATCAGATAACCTTTACTGACTTTACAGGTTCTGCAACTATTATGTATGCATTCAGGTATTCCCAGAGCACGAGTGCATGGCCCTGCTTTCCTCCTTGCCCCTGTTTCAGCTCTACCAGCTGGATGTGAGCTATTCCTGAGGATTGAGCAATCCTTAGTTTAGTTTTCCTAATTAATTGATTAGTGGTCTGGTTGAACACGTGGGAACTTTCACTGTTAGTGTCTAGGGGGATGTTTGCTTCCCTAGAAGCTCACTGACCCCTCGGATGGGGCAGTGTTTCCCAAGGAAGTAGCTGGCATTTCCCTTGAACCCTGGGATGTGCCTGCTCAGGGCTGCCTGTGCTTCTGCTCTCACAGCCTCAGGGCCTCCTCTGGGTTTCTTATGCTCCTTTCCATGTGAGGCTGAATTTAATTATCAGGGATAAGGTCCTCCAGAGCAGACCTTTAAAAGTTCTATATAAAGATGCTGCTCTTAAGTAATTCAATATTTCAACTGCTCTGTGCTGGATTGATTGATTGATTAATGGAGGAGTTCATTTAATTAATCTAGGGCTTCACTAAGTCACATGTGTTACAGTAAATACTGTGAGGTGGTGATAAAGGGGACGGTTGGGAACTGCAGCTCCTTGCTTGCCTCTCTCCTCCCTTTGCCTTTACAGTGAAGCTGCGGGTGCGAAGTCACCATGAATGACTGCGTGCGTGTGCTGGGGCTCGAGATAGATGAATCTTGTTGGTTTGCTATCTATAGGCTGTCGAATATATTTCGGATGGCAGGCAGACGTGATACTTTGTCACTTCCTACAAGTGTGCATGTGGAGCGAGACAGTTTTCCCCCTCCTAGCCCCAGCACATGCCCGAGTGGTTTGCCTCTGTTTTGGATTCTGTAATGTTGATATGTCATTGCATATTGACAGGGACAGTATCTGCTGTTCCTGAACTGCGTCCCTCCACTGAGTGCCTGCTTATGTTTTGTTTGCCCTTCAACAGCTAAATTTGGTCCTTGGGAGGGCCCAGAGACCCCCATGTCCTGGTACATGTGCAGTACCCTGGGAGCTGTGATACTGGCTGCAGAATACCCCTCAAACTGCAAGTTTTAGTCCAAAGCCTTGTGTCCTGGCCACAGAAGAGCTGTGTGTGGAGCTGTGAAGCCTGGTCTGCAGTCTGATGAAGGTTTTGGTACTCATGGCTGTTGGTAGCCCTAACAGAGGGAAGTTGTATTTTTCTCTGAGGGATTTCTGTGCTCACTCCGAGTACGCGAGGCATCTGGGGACAGGGCTGCTGTCTGGGGCTGTGCAGGAGCTTCTCCAGGGCTTTGGCACTCCCATAACTCGCTCCGTCTCTTATGGAGAGGCATTAGTCTTGTGCAGAAAGAAGTTTTCAGTGGCTTTGACTGAAACGTGTGTGATCCTGGCACCCTAGGTTTTGGTAAAAATGTTCCTAAATCTGTCATTGTACAGTAGGCATAAAGGTGACACGACTGGTCTGCCCCAAACACATGGCGGAGTGGAAACTCAAAGCTGCATCTTGTGGGCTGTGCCTCTGTACTGAAGAAGTGACAGTCAGTGAGTCCAGGATCAGTCACTGCTGTCTAATTTCCAGATTTCCTTGTCCAGGCTTTGTATAAATAGGTGTAGAAATAAGTTAATAGACCCACGTATAATACACATGTGGTAATCCAAGCTACTTTTGAATGAAGGCTATTAAAAGCTCAGCTGCTGGACAGCCTCATGACTGGGTTTGCCTCTGCCTAACCAGCACGTGGGCAGTTGCACAGCAGCTAAGTGTGGTTTTTTTCTCCTCTCTATCTTCTTTAAAAAGAAATGAAGCCTTGATTCGTGGACAAGCAGTTTAGTGCCGCTGTCATAGGTCAGCGGTTTGTTGTGTGGTTAGCTTGGTTCCTAGACCTGTGTGTTGAAAGGTAATGGGGCTCATCTCAAAGAGAGCTTTTTCTCGGCAGGATGTCTAACTATGTGTTGCCTCTGTTTTCTCAGTTGCTAGTCTTACAGAATTTAGTCACGGTAGAATACTTGATGAATAGCCTTTGATAAAAGGTGCTTTTTTTTTTTTCCCTTTTGATTTTGGTCACTATTGTAATACTGTGAAATGCTGATGGAAAGCCAAGTGAAAATGATAGCTAAACACTAACGTGACAGGAGATACATTAACCTGTGGGACTGTTGGATTGCTTGTGTTGCTGGAAGAATTCCCCATGTGCTGAGGAGGATACTGCTGCCATCCATGGGGAATTTGGGCAAGTTTGCTAGTGCCTGGCTGGCCAGTATGTGTGTGTGGGCCCCTTCCCACTGGTTCATGGCTGTTGCTGCTTCCCAGCCCTGGTCGTAGCACAGGAGGGAGCCTCTTGATGCTGTCTTTACCTCCAGCTCCCAGCGAGCGTGGGATGGAAATCCTGCCCAGTTTTGATGCTATCTCTCCATCTATCCAGGCTGTACAGGAGCTAGTGTTAGCAGGAGTTTTTTAAGCTGTTGGATTTGGAGTCGCTGCATTGTTCATGTGATTAAATTGTATTTAATTAGCTTTGTGTTTTGTCCTTTTGTTTCAGTGCAAAGATTTGGGGGGGTTGCAAGGGGGAGATAAAAATTGCCTAAATGAAGCTTCATCATTTAAAACACACATAAAAACTCTGTGAGATGCCTTTTATTCCCCAGTCCTTTATCTTCCCTCACAAGCTTTCTGAGAATGAGTAGTGCATATTGAGGTTTATCTTTGCTTTTATGTGCAGTAGCCACATGCTTAACATCGAGCACATTTGAGTTGCATTTCATAGGGCTTTCGCAATCCCTTTATAAAGGGACTGATCTGCTAACATCACCCTCTTTAGATCTACCAGGCAGGATGTTCCTCTGTACAGTGAAGTGCTCACAGTCTCTCTTGCCAGACCAGTAAGTGAATGATTTCAAGCCTGGTGGGCAATACTTGTGTCCATGCGTAACACAGACAGACCACAGTAGTAGGCAGCTGCATGTAATTTTGAACTCCACTCATTGAACTGTAATAAAACAATATAAGCACTGCTTGGGGGAAAGATTGGATGCAGTTATCCTTACACAGGGCTCGGGCATATGAAAGCAGCGCTGGCTGACAAGAGGATTTTGAGATTTGATTTTGATTGAATTGCAGAATTGAACAGGCCAGGAATGTCAGTGGAAGGCTAAATGCCTGTAGTGCCATAAAGTTTTATTCATGTGAGGCTTTCCAATATAAAGTAGATGGATTATTGGAGGAGGTGTCAAGGGACATGAAATAGAAGAGCCCAAAACATAAAATGTGGGTATAAGGATAAAATTACTTCTTGCTTAGTATATAATTAGCTCAGCAAAATGTTTTGGGTAGTTGTTTGTTTATTCAACTTTTTTTAAACTAATTCATTACACAATAGAGGAGTCTTTGTTTTTTACTTCAGATCTCTCTCTGGCTGAAATTTATATTGCTATAGCAGGTCTAAACAAATGAATTTCGCCTTATTTTTTTAATTAGAAAAGGAGGTGTCTCATTTGGGGGGGGGGGAAGAAGTGGGGGAGGAAAAGTCCCCAGGATAGAAAGGAAAAAGAAAAAAAATAAAAAGGAAAAGTCCACAGGATATGAACACTCATCAGACACTGAAAACTATTATGCTCAAAAACAAGAGCGGGATGTGTATTCACATACCACAACACACTGACTTATTTCATAGCTCAGTAATGCATACGTAATTAGAGTCAAATTTGCATAGGACAGCTGATAGCCAAATCTGTATGGCATTAGAGACAGCTTCCCTCATTTGCAGTGAACTA